TGGTATTAAATAGTAAAACTCGAAAGCCCAGATATTCTCAAATAGATGAATAAATATATTATGATATGCCCGTATGATCATAGGATATAGTCATTTAAAATGGTCTTTTTGAACACTGTTTATGCAAAGGAAAAGAAACAAAAGTAAGAACAGTAGGCTGCCAAGCGTAGGAGCCCAGTCTTAGAAAGCACGTGTAGATGAATGAATGACATGGCCACCTGGAAACAATGGCCATCAACCATGCCCACCTGTGGTGGGGATAGCAAGACCCTGACAGCATCCCCTGCTCTCCTGAGGATGGCAGGGATGCCAGGAGACCATTTCATGGGTTAGAGGATGGAGGTGAGGCTGGGAACCTGGGAGGTGCCTGCACAGAGGCTGAGGGGGAGAGGGCTGGAGAGCAGGATGTTTGGCTTCACCAATGGCAGCGGCCTGAGTCCCATGGTAGGTCAGTAACCCTGGTCCCATGGTAGGCCAGTGGCCCAGAAAGTATCAGGGACCATGGATTAAGAATCAGACCACTGTGACAGTCACAATCCAAGTTGTCAGGAGCTGTGGGGAGCCTGACCACCGAACCCAGTGCCTTGGCAGAGGGGACATCATGCGTGGGCAGCTCCGTCCTGGGAAAGAAAGTTTCTCCCTCCCTGAGCCTCTAGGCCTCTTCCACCAACCATCTGGCCATCCCACAATCTCTTCCACCCAGGATACGGGACACCTATCCCCAGTCCAGGACACGGGACACCTGTCTCTAGCCCAGGACATAGGACCCCTTCCAGTTCTCGGGGTCCAGCCTGTGAACACTAGGGCACCCCAAGCTGGTCACCAATGGAAGTAGACCTGTCTTTCCAAGATGTTTTTTAAAAAAGACCAAAATATTGTTTATATAGATGACAGGATTAAAAGTGACGTTCGTTGTCTATGCTTTTCTGTATTTTCATAATTTTCTATATCAAGCATATATCACTTCTATAATTGGAACAAAAATAAAGGCTACTTTTGAAATAATATACATGCTTTTATCTCATATCAAAGAACAGTGTCTTCTTAATTATTCCAAGCCAATTTTTTTTTTTTAAGACGGAGTTTCACTCTGTTGCCTAGGTGGGATTGCAGTGGCATGATCTCAGCTCACTGCAACCTTCACCTCATGGTTCAAGGGATTCTCCCGCCTCAGCCTCCTGAATAGCTGGGATTACAGGCACCTGCCACCATGCCCAGCTATTTTTTTTTTTTTTTTTTTGTATTTTTAGCAGAGATGGGGTTTTACCATGTTGGCCAGGCTGGTCTCAAATTCCTGACCTCAAGTGATCCAACTGCCTTGGCCTCCTGAAGCTGATTTTTCTGGGATTACAGGGGTGATCCGCCACACCCAGCCTTTCAAACCAATTTTTCTGCTGGCAGCTCACAGGGCCCCATGGTTCCAGCTCCCTCCGGGGAGCACACGTCAGCCACGTGGGAGCTTGTTGCCCCTCTGCCCTCCTCTCCGGCCTATCAGTACCATCTCAAAAACCAAGCCCCCAAAAGCCATGTGAGGTAAAGGCACAGGATGTCTCTACTCAGAGGGCTTGCCTGGGGTCCCCCTAACCTCACTGAGGCCTGTCCCCAGGGTCCCAGGCTGAGGCAGGCTCAGCATTCTGAGAGTCTGACTTCTCCAGGGGGAGGGCTGCCAGGTGGAGGAAGCAGGGCATTCATGACCTCCATGTCTCATGACCTCCAGTGGGGACCAGATGCTGACCACCGAGGCCCCAAAGTCACCACTAACCCAGCACTGGTCTCTCCATCCCTTCCATCCAGGCATCAGACTCTCTCCCCTTTCTGCTCCCTCTTCAGCCTTAGCCTTGCCCTGGGGACCACAGAATGGACCACTAGCCCCGCTTCGTATGGATAGGTGCATAGATTTGTCAGCAATGAGCAGATCCCCAGTCTGAGCCTTCACTTCTCAGGACAGCCCATCCCAAGTTCAGCCACTCCTCGTGGTCACTGCCAGAGCCTTCACCATCTGACACATCCTCCTCTGAGCACCCTGCAGGGTGCCAATGTCTCTCTGAAACTGTGCTGTGGAGGGCTCTGATAATGGGGAGACCTCCAACCTCCCTCACTCTGGACACTAAAACTCTTTGGAACATGACCTAAGAGCCAAGCTTTCCTGGGGCTCCCCACATGTTCCCGGTCACTGAGCTCTGCTCCCCTGTAGGCTGGGTGGGCACTGCCACAGACTGCTGGTCAAGAGATCAGACCTGGCACCAGATGAATCTGAAAATTGACTGAAGGATGAGACCCCCATAAATGGCAGCTAGGCAGTGAGGCTGGACAACCTCTGGGTTGTCCAAGGACCTGGATGGCTGTGTTATCAATAATGTCTCTTGTAGATCTAAAAACACCAAGTTCAGGTCGGATGTGGCACCAAGTTCATGCCTGTAATCCCAGCACTTTGGGAGGTTGAGGCAGGCGGATCACCTGAGGTAGGGAGTTCAAGAACAGCCTGACCAACATGGAGAAACCCTGTCTCTACTAAATATACAAAATTAGCCAGGCATGGTGGTGCATGTCTGTAATCCCAGCTACTCTGGAGGCCGAGGCAGGAGAATTACTTGAATCTTGGGGGCAGAGGTTGCAGTGAGTCAAGATCGCGCCACTGCACTCCAACCTGGGCAACAAGAGCAAGACATCATCTCAAAAAAGAAACAAACAACAACATAAAAACAACATCAAGTTCTAGGGTGATAAGCACCCCCAGCCCTGAGATTCAGAGGATGGAGAATTCTAAGTGGCTCAAACCCTAAGGCACTGAGGCCTGTACCGGACCACGCCCCTCCAGAAAGGGGCTGCTCTGTCTGCTGTTTCTGGGTCAGGTCATAGGGAACGCTGGTAGCTGGAGACACTTCTGTGGGTCCCAGAGTTTTTTCTGGAGAAACTTTCCCTGTAATGGTGGTGAAGAGAGTGGGAAGGGCCGAAAGGCGTGTCCTCCAGTCCCGGAAGCTGAGCTGGCTGCCAGCACAGCAGCCCCTGCAGGGAGGCGGAGGCTCACCGGGGCAGGAGGGCCCTGAGGAGGAGACCAAGCCGACCTTACCCAGCACAGCCTCCCTGCAGTGTGTGGCGACCTGTGAGGACAAAGGCACAGCCTGACCACAGGCCAGGCCCCCAGAGCAGCACAGGCAACTCCTCAGCCTGCCTGTCCTGTTACGCTCAGTGGCTCCTGTGGCTGATGTGCGATGCAGAATGTTCTCAGTGTCACACAGCCCTCAGGCCCCTACTCCTGTCCAGCCCAGCAGCTCTAAGCTGGGGCGAGCACTGGAGCAGGCTCTGTCTGCTGGTCCGGAGGGGCAGGAGGCAGGGCCGAGAGTTGCCTTAACCATGAGGTTAAGGATGGGCAGGAACGTCCCCAAGGCCAGCATTCAAGGGTTCGCACCTTCCCTTCTCCAGACTCCTCTTACACTGACCAGGGCCTTCACTGGGCCCCACCCCAGCCCAGGTGCCTCCACTACACCTCCACCCTTCTACTCAGCACTGAGTCAGGGCACAGGTGTCAGCTGGCAGGCAGGGTACCTGGAGACCCGGATCCCACTGCAGGCAGGAGGAACATCCTTGGGTTCTGGACAGGGTCCGACAGTGGGAGGGCTGGGGAATGGCTGCCTTCCTCTGAGCTAGGAGCCTGGTGTGGAGAGACTGGGCAGTCACACACTCCCAATCACCACCCCTCCTGGGACTTTGTCACCAAAACATACGTGTGTGTGTGTGTGTGTGCGTGCGCACGCGCGTGCACGTGCGGGCATGCACTATATGTATAATACTCTCCATTAACCCCTCTGCTTCCCCACAGGAGGGCTGCCGGGAGGGGCATTGTTCTAGTGCTCTAGCATCAGGGAACCAGGGACTAGTTGGCAGGGCCTGCCACAGGCGGACTATCCCCAGAAGGGAGCATGGACCTCCCTCCAGCCATGCAGCCCTGCATGAGGGGAACTGATTCTGCCCTCCCCTAGAGCCCACCCACCAGATCACACACCTACACGATAAATGGCCTCCCCCGAGGCCCGGGACTGGGAGCCTTGCAGCTGTAGGACCCCGACTCCTCACAGCTGTCGGGGGATGGGAGGATTGTGGGGAAGTTGGGGTGGGGGCAGCTGAGGGTTTCCTGCCTCATATGAAGAGAGAGATGACACTGGACACTCCTGGGGGTTCTGGGAATAACAGGTCCCAGCGGCTCTCAATTCATTGCTGTGCCCAGGAGTCTGGTGAAGAGTTAATGCTCAATTAACATCTGGAAAGTGAATGAATGAAGGAGGCGAGCACGTCAGAGACCACCCAAGCCTCAGCAGCTCTCGGGCTGCCCGTGCTGAAGTCACCCCCTCTCCAGGCAGGCAGGTGGGGCTGCTGCAATGGAGGCTGCGGGCCTTTGGCTCTGGTTTTTCTGTCTGAGTGGTTTGCACCCCTGGGCTCTGGATATGTTCTTCGGTGCTGCCATGACCCCAGACTTGAGCCTAATCCCCATTCCCTGCTGTCTTCCCCACTGTCTTTCTCGATTCCAAGTCAGCTGTGGGCTCCACCTCTACCCAGCCTTCCAGGGTCTCAGGAGAGACCAGCGGTGTGTGAGGGGCATCCTCCGTCTGTTCTTTGCTGAGGCTGGAGGCTCCTTCTATCATGGAGTGCACACAGCCTCTCAGGACTGTTCTGTTCTGCAGAAGGACGATGGGACCCAGTCCCCTCATCCCAGAGCAGCCCCTCGGCCTGACTCCCCTTGGCCATCTTTTTTCCCAGTTGTTGCTCTGTCAACCTCACCAGGTCACTTCCCCATACTCCATCTCCTCCTCATGGCCTGGCCCAACCCATCTGACAGGTTCTCTCATAGACAGAGCTGGACGTGTGGGCTGGGACAGGCTGTGCAACAGGGCCCATATGAATTTCCACAGATCCAGACTCAACCCGGTGTGGATCCAGTGAGAACTTACCGAACACCTGGGCAGCTGAGCCAGGCTAGACACCGAGGATGCCAACTTTGGCAATCCTTGTTGGAACCCTACAAAGTGCAATTTATTGTCTCCACTTGGCATTGGAGCAAACCGATGCTCAAAGAGATGGACTTTCTGGACCCAGGACAGAGAGCAGAATCTGGACTCTGCACGGGCTTGTTTAGGTGCTAAGATTCCTATTCAGTAAAGGGGAGGGAATCCAGGAAACTGCAGCTCCCTGCTTCCCTGCCCAGCCTTCGTCCATCAGTCCCCATGCTGCGGCAGGAGCCCCAATGATGAGCGCTGCAGAGCCCAGGGGACGAATGCCAGCCTCAGGCCAAGACAGCAGGGCAGGCTGGTCAGGCTGGGAGGCCTGGAGCCAGCCAGCCGGGCCCTGATAGCTTACAATTGCTCCAAGTGTAGGAGGCGGAATCAGAGCCTACCCCAGCCACTGGAGAGGGATGCCTCCATCTGCGCCTGTGTGCCTGGGATGCTGCCAGTCCCTTCCTCCACGGGAGCTGCCAAGGAAAGAGCCCTTTTGTCATCTTCCAGGAAACAGCCCTCCCATGGCACTCTCCCTCCACACTCCAAGGCCTCGCTCCTGCTTTATGGAAACAGAATTGGGTCTTGCTTGAACCTGTGCCCCGCCAGACCACAAAAAGCCTCAAATATGGGTGTGGCCGCCAGCCCCACGGAGCCACAATCACTTGGATTCTGGGAGCCCCGAGACTTGGAAGTTGCCTGTGGCACCAAGACCAGGTGTTTATTGTCAAAATTCTGGCCGGCCACACATGTTGCTGACACTTTCTGTCTCTCTGGAGCTCTGAGAGACCTGTTTGTGTGTCTGTTTGTTTGTTTGTTTTGAGACAGGATCTTGTTCTGTCGCCCAGAGGCCGGAGTGCAGTTGCGCGATCTTGGCTCACTGCAACCTCTGCCTCCTGGGTTCAAGTGATTCTTGTGGCTCAGCCTCCCAAAGAAGCAGACATGTGCCACCATGCCCAGCTAATTTTTGTATTTTCAGTAGAGACATGGTTTCACCATGTTGGCCAGTCTGGACTTGAATTCCTGGCCTCAAGCAATCTGCCCAACTCTGCCTCCCAAAGTGCTGGGATTACAGGCCCAAGCTACCGCACCAGGCCTCTCAGAAACTTCTGAGAGTTTCTGACCAGCAAACATAGCCACAGGTGGCTGCATGAGGGAGGCGGTAAAATCTGATAGTTCAACATCATGTCCTGTGGATGGTCCAAGGACAGAGCAGCCCCAGGATCCAGGCCAGAAAGCTGGCCCTAGAGGAAGTTGGTTTTTATCCTGTGCTTCTAGGTTGGAGTGGAGGTTTCCAGGAGGACACCTCCGTTGGTCACACTGTTCTCCTGAGCCCCTTTCTAACATATGTACCCTGCTCCCAGCCCCAGCAGGGTTGCAAAAATTAGCCGGGCATGGTGATACATGTCTATAACCCCAGCTTTTTGGGAGGCTGAGGCACGAGAATTGCTTCTACCCGGGGGCAGAGGTTGCATCACAAAATCCATCACAGTCCCCAGGTTTGCTGAACGGATTCCCCATCTGGCCATTCACCTCCCCTGCCCCGCCCATTTCTACTTCCCTTTCAGGCTTGTTCCTCTCTTGTGACCTCCTCCTCACTCTTTCTAGGCATCAGTCACTTGCATCACCGCAGTGACTCCCTGACCACTCTGTCCCTGCCCAGCTCAGATTTCCCTACACAGGTCTGGATGATCCTCTAAGCCCAGGAGAGCACATGCCTCCTCCACTCAGGATCTTCCAATGGCTCCCCATCAGGATCATTTTCCCAGGGCAGCCAGAGCAAATGACCACAAACTGGGTGGCTTAAAAAGTCTCCTCTCAGTCCTGAAGGCCAGAAGTCTGAAATCAAAGTGTCAGCAGGACTCCGCTCCCGCGGAGGCTCCTTCTTTGCCTCTTCCTGTTCCTGGCATTCCCCCGCTGGTGGCAGCACCACTCCCATCCCTGCCTCGGCCTTCACGTGGCCTTCTCTTCTCCACTGTGTGTCTCTTACAGAAACATTTGTGATTGGATTTAAGGCCCACCTGGATAACACACGATGATCTCATCTTGAGATCCTTAATTTAATTACATCTATAGATGACTCCTTTTCAAAATAAGGTCACATTTCCAGGTTCTGGGGGTTAGGATGTGAACATGGCTTTTTGGGGGACAACAATTCAACCCATGATGCCATCTCCCTAAGGAAAATCCCAGGTCATTACTCTGTGCTTCAAGGCCCTTCAGGATCTGGCCTCACCCCTGACCTCCAACCTCCCGCTGTCCACCCCACCACTCCGACCTCCAGCCCCATCTCCCACTGTCCCCCAGCACACCATGCTGTTCCTGCTTCGGAGCCTTGGCAGGTGCTGGCCTTTCCCACAAGATCCACATGTGTCCTCCATCACCATCGTCAGGTTTAGCTTATCATTTGCTATGGCCAGGCCCTCCCTGGCCAGGTTATGTAAACTTGCAACCCTCCCGGAACACTCCCTCTTCCTCACCTGCCTTCTCTCTTCCCTACCACTCATCACCATCACACGCACCTGCTTCTCATTTTTGTCGCTCATTGTCTCCCCTCCCTGAGGCCGCAGGCATGCTTTGTCAATTGTGTTCACTGCTGTGTCCCAGCGGCCAGAACAACACTTGACACTAGTCGGCCTTGGCTGAATAAATGAATGAATGAATGAGCAGGAGTTTGCTCAGGCTGAGTGCTGAGCTACCACAAGCCTTTGCAGACACTCCCAGAACATGTGGCCCCACCTCTGAGCTCCTGGTGCACCTCGATTCTCACAAGGCCCCCACACTTTAGCCTCTGGTTATCCTTTTTCGAGCCTGACATGTTGGCTCAGGAAACACTCCCTGAGCCCACATCATTAGTCACCCGAGGCCCTTGATCCTTCCTCCCACATCCGTCCCCCATTGCGCCTGCTCTCACCCTGCGTGCGCAGGGCACTGTGTATGAAGGTCAGGCCTGCCCTGCTGCCCCTGCTGGTCTCTGCGGCTGCCACAGGGATGGAAGACTCCTTCCTTCTGATGCACCCAAGACTGGGATATGGACTCCCAGGGCAGGCATCGAAGGAATGTACGAGGGCTGCCCCAGGGCCTGCAACACTGACTGTGAGTGGTCCTCCAAAACATTCCTGATGGAAACCACCAGAGCCTCCACTTCAGGAGAGGGACGCTGGCTTCTTGCCATATGTCTGCTGCTGACAGGCTCTGGCTCTGTGACTTGCAGAAGTTCCCTTCTGCTGCTGCTCCCCAATTTCATCATCTCTAAACCTGGGCATCGATCCCATCAGGCCCGGCTACAATAGGTTGCATCTTACACATTCCAACTCAGATGGCTCTGGCTATGGCACTGGGTTGAGGATTCTGAGGTTCAACCCAGGTTTAACAGGAAAGAAGGGCAGCGATCCATTAGTGACATGGGTGCAGGGGAGAGTGAGGGCCCAGGTGTGCTAAGGCTGGGGTAGATGCTTTGTGAGTGGGCTTTGGGTACCACATCCACGTGAGTCTATGGACACCTGATGCTAGAGAGAAGGTCCTAGGGGAGGTGAATGGGTCTGACATGAGTGGCTGGTGGCATCACAAAGCTGTTCTGAGTTTACTTTGGTGTGTCTGAGGCAGCTGGTATGGCCTGCCTGCTGGGAAGGCTTCAATGACCCAGCGGAGAGATGGCTCCTTCCTTCAGCTGGGGTTGAAGTCACAGGGCAGTTAGGCGAGAGCCCTGCTCTGCATTTTGTCTCTCAGTTGGCCATCATGCTTGGTGGTGGAGGCTGACTTCTGGCTCAGGATTTACAGCAACAAGGCTGGGCTCTGGGTGAACCTAGCCAGGGGCCCTGAGACTCGTGGGAAGTGAGGTCCCGTCTCAGTCCTTTCCAGCTGCTACAACACAATACCATGGATGGGGCGGCTTAGAAATGGCAGGCATGTCCTTCTCACAGTTCTGGAGGCTGAAAGTCCCAGATCAAGGTGTCAGCAGCTTCTGTGTCTGGGCGGGTGGGCTCTCCGGTTCCTAGATGGGGCTGTCTTGCTGCATCTTCATGTGATGTAAGGGGCAAGGGAGTTTTCTCAGGCCTCTTTGATAAGGGCATTAATTCCAATCAGGAGGGCTCTGCTCCATGCCCTGAGCTCTTCCAAAGGCCCCACCTCCCATCTCCTCACCTTGCTAGTAAAGATTTCAACGTACATGTTGTCAGGGGTACAGAAACACAGACTGTAGCATCGTCTGGGGACAGACACGGAGCCCAGCGCACCATTTCCCTGAACAGGGGAGACGTGTTTGTAGCCCACACAGCTGGGTCAGGGAGTGAAAGCCTCGGCAGCCTTGGGAGAAGTCGCCCTAATGTGATATGGGCCTCAGTTTCCCAGTTGTAGGTGGAGATCACAGCAGCTATCTCCTTTTCAGGCTGGACAGATTGCTGTGTACTGTAGAAACGCCACGACCCTGAGACAGAGCTGTGTCTACCCACCGGAAGGGGCATTTTTTTTTTTCTAATTTGCACAAAGGTGCCCTGGGGGCTACTAGCAGCCCTGGGGTTCCAGGTCATGCATAGAAAACTCCTCACCAGGCGCTCAGCAGGAGCAGAACCCTATCACCATTCTCACAGTGGCTCCTGCTCTAACAGAGGCACAGAGGCACAGAAAGAGAGAGACGTTCCCCTGAGGCAGTAGGAGGGCTTCCTGGAGGAGGGAGGGTTTTGCTGGGCCTTGCCGGTCCTGGAGCAACCAATGATTCTGGCCACAACCCATGCATGCCTGCCTGCCTGGCGCCCCACCTCCAACCCCACAAAGGGACTGCAGTCTGCTCTGTGCTGCGGCCCTTCCTCAGCATGGCTGGTTTCTTCCCGAGGTCTATATTTGGTTCCTGCTGACTCTTCTGTGACATAATGCAAATGAGACCACAGACAACCAGCTTCAAAGCCAAGGAAGCCGCAGGCTGGACTTGCCTCCACAGTCCCCTGATGGGTAGGGAAGTGGGCAGAGGTGATGGTCATGTCCATCCATCATGGTCCATCATGATACCTCTAAGCGGCCAAAAAAGGTCACGGTCAGGAGGCAGAGCCTGAGGTTAACCAACAGGAGCTTCCCACATGGCTGATGACAGTTTCCCAGGTTCTTTCTTAATCACTCGGACCTTAGCTCAAAGCTTAGCCCCCTCCCTGTGTGGGGCCTGGAATTTAAAGCAGAGTGGTCCAGGGCTTGCCTCCTGCCCGGAGGCCTTTCCACCAAACCTAGGGCTCCATAGGGCACAGTAGCTTGAAAAGTGCTGACCTACAGGATGTGACTCAAACTGCTAAAGCTCTCACAAGTCTCTCCTCCTGCCCCCTGACGCGGCTCCCATCTCACCCCTGGCCATACCAGATCCCCCCTGCTCCTGCCTTGGCCCTTTTGTATTTTGATACTTGCTGCTTTGTCAAAACTCCTAGTTATCTTTCAAGACCCTAGCTAGGATGCCGCCTCCTCCAGGAAGCTTATTGCTACCATCCGGATATTTGTGTTCCTCCAAGATTCTATTCATCTGCTCAAACCCAAACCCCAAGGCGCTGGTATCAGGAGGTGAGGCCTTAGAGCAGGGATTAGGTCATGAGGGTAAAGCTGCCATGAATAGGATTAGTGACCTTATAAAAGAGGCTCCAGGGAGCCGCCTTGCCGCTTTCACCAAGTGAGCACATGTGAGAAGAGAGCAGTCTGTGAACCAGGCAGCAGGCCCTCACCGGACACCAAATCAGCTGATGCCTTGAACTTGGACTTCTCAGCCTCCAGAACTGTGAGCTATCCATTTCTGTTGTTTATAAGTCAGCCAGTCTAGAGCAGTTTTTACAGCAGCCTGAAAGGACTAAGACAATTACTCTGACCTCTTCCCCCGACCCACATTCATGGGCAGAGTGGTCCCTTCTTTCCCTGTCTGTACTCCGTCCTCCTCCCCGTCAGCCTCCTCCACAGCCTTCCTCCTGCTGTGTCGGAAGCACCCATTTCCCTGTTTGCCCCACTCAGCTCCTTCAGGGCCTGGTGTTTTCCCCCCTGCGTTTGACAGGTGCCCCATCAGAACCGCTCATTGCAGACTGGAGGCAGCCAGCAGGTGCCGCAGCTCCCTGGACTCTGTGGGATTTTGGCAACTGGAATGTATTTAGGATCCAGCCATGGCTCCCTTTGAGGCCACACACAAGGGCTGAGCTGGAGTCATCTCTAATTCCCTTTAAAAGGGAGGCCCAGGGAAGACACACGCCCCCATCCTAGGGCCCCAGGTTCCCCTCAGTGTTTACGACATGGCTTCAGAACACGGGCTTTACAGGCCATGAGCAGCACGAGGCCCTTGGCCACAGCCCCAGCCTTCCCTGCACTGACCCCCTCCCTGAGCCCAGCAGGAAGCAGGACCTCTGTTCCAGGACTTTGGAGCAAAAGGTCACTTCCTGGGCCAGGGTAACCACGGCAACACCATTCCCCTGGCAGCCCTGGACTAGCAAAGTGTCCTCATAAGCTCTGATTTTGTCTAAATTTATCATTTCAGGCTAAGGAAGGTCTCGTACTGGTTTTAGAGCCTTGGACAGAGCTCCTGGCGACTTGGGCCTTCCTGGCTCTGCCACTGACCTGCTGGGGACTTCAGCAAGCCTTCACCTTCCACCTTGGTGTTCTCAGATGTAAGAAAAGGAAGTCAATTTCCACGGGAGGTGCTCAAACAGTGCTGTAGAAACCTCAGCAATTCCACAGAGCATGACAGTACCTCTGCCAAGTGAAATTCTTCACATGGAGAAACCTACCCTCTTGCTGATTT